GTGTAGGCCTGTAATCCCAGCACTCAGGAGGCTGAGGTGGGATTACCATGAGTTTAAGGCCAGTCTCAGCTACATAGTGAGACCCTGTCTCAAAAAGAGGGGAGGCACCACTTTCTATGGTTTTCAAGGAGGCAACCTAACAAACCCCCTCCCTGCAGGCAGTGAACTATCTCCTGTCTCCTGCCATGGGACTGCAAGACCCTCAGGTTACTGAGGGTCATCAGCAGAAGGTGGCCTCACTCACCAGGCTCCCAGTGGCTGGCAAGCACATGGCACCCTGCAATGGCTCTGTCCGTATCAGGCTACTAATCATTCAGGCGTTCATGGGTCAGAACACTGAGCGTAGACATAGCCTCGATTCTCTCTGCTGCCTAGTGACACAGATGTGACACAGCAGCCACACGTGCAATGCCTCGAGGGGCAGATATAAACAGCATTTAGTCCATCAGCAAAAGTTGCCAAAGTCTTCACATTTTCGGCACTGCTGAAAAGTCCAAGTACCAAGTCTCTTCCCAGATGTAAGGCAAACTCTGAGCTGCAAGCCCCCATACAAATGAAAAGTTAAACATTCCAACATTCAATAGCACAAAATAAGCATTTTCCTCCCAAAAATTACAAATGAGGATACAAAGCATTGGGACCAAAGCAAGTCCAATGTCCAGCAGAGAAAACATTAAGTCCTATAGTTCCATGTCCAGCATCTGAAGCAATCTGTGGCACACTGTGAGCTTCAAGGGCTTGCATGACTCCTCCCCTATGGCACTTCCAATGGTTACAGCTCCCATGGCTTCTCTCTTGGGACTGCTTTGCTCCCTCCTTGCAGCTTTCCTCAGACAGTCCACATTCCTGGCTTTTCCAAACTTCTGAGGTCTCCACTGAACCTCTTGCTTCACACTCACAGCTTTACACACTGCCCTCTCAGGGGCACACTCTGGCCTCCTGGGCCTTCGTCTGAAATCAAGGTGGAAGCCTTCTTAACCTCAGAACTTTTGCATTCTGTATGCATCTCAATCCAGGGCCATGTGGATAATGCCAAGGTCCACTGCCACCTGGAGCAGTAGCCAAGCTGTCCTCTCTCTTGGCCATAGGGGTTGAGTGCCTGGATCACTGAGCACTCTGAACCTGATTCTGAGAAACAAATTCTCTATGCTGCTGCTGTTGCGGCTGCCACAGCCATTCTGGCACACGGCACTCTGCGG